ATTCTCTCAAGAAATCTACAAGAGATTTGGTGATCATATTCTTTCTAATCTTCATCTTATTTCTAATTCTTGAAGATCATAATCAGATTTGTATGATTTTGGGTTTTTCAAACAAGAGGTCTTCTGGTCCAACGCGTAGGCCAACCAGAGCCCCTATGCTCTGTCTTTATTTATATGAAAAGTTTTTATGTATAAAATCTTTATAACATCTTTTAGAATATGATTTTGACACAGAGCTCTTATCTAATAGATACAGAACCCCTGGTTTAAACAAAACTTTAGTAAAAGACTTGTATCAATATCGAATCATCATCCAGAACCCTATAATTCTACTATGAGGACCAACCACAACCCCTCTTGTTCCGTTCAAGGAACAACCAGAGCCTCTGTGGTTCCTCATAAATCAAACACTTTGTTCCAAAATAGAGTTTATCCAAAACCAAGTTTTCCCTTTCTCAATAACATCAATACTATCATTTCTAATAAGAGCAACATCTCTGAGTCCTCAAATCACGAAGAAGTAAGAACTCAGATCTATTGCAATCTTAAAAGACATAATAGCAAGAGCTATAATAATTCAAACATACAAATGCCACCCTTATATCCAAAGGTACACCTCTCCTTGATATGCCACCCTTATCTCATGGTACACCTCTCCTTGATATGCTACCCATATTTCCTTATCAAAATCTATGGATTAGTTCCAAACAAAGACAGACCAATGTCACAACCGTCTTGATGAAACAGCCTCCATAATTTTGTCCTCAAAATCTATTGATTAATCCCAAACGAAGACAGACCGAAGTCACAACCGTCTTGAAGGAATATCCTATATAGTTTTTAACCAATAATGGTTTCAAAACAATTTTCTCTTTAAAACTCAAGAACACCCAGTTCTTTCACTATCATTTCCAAACTCAAATCCCCTTTTAAATCCTTAAAATAGGGTGTCATTCATGACTGTTTTCAAAGAAGCAAATACTTCCTTATTTTTCCAAAATAGTTTCCTCATCCAGGTTCATAAAATTCAGCTCAAACCTTTCAAAACAGAAATTACTATTCTTCTTCAAAGAATCAAATCATTCAAAACCCAGCAGTTCAAATATTATCATTTAAAATAATTTGGTAACAAAAACTCACCTTATTAAGCACAGACTTGAAGATTTGAGCACACTGCAGTTTCTTCAAATAAACCTTATCTTTTATCTTCTTTTTATATGCTTACTAAAAGCGTTGTGATTTAAATAATAATATAAAACTTACAGGCGGTGGGTTCTATTATTTTAAAATTCACCTTTCTTAACCATGAAGATTGTACAACTATTATATTTTAATAGTAGTTTTCACATAATCATATTACATCATATGCACCTTCTCATGTTTTATCATTTTCCCGATTATGCATAGCATCACATTTTCACATATACGCATACTATTCATGCATTTAATTAAATAACATGCATGCCAACACGTATTTCATAGAATAATCACATAAAAGTTACCTTAACCCAAGTTGTTTGAAACCCGGTTATCACAACTTGTCCTCAAGTCTGGAAAGAAACTATGAACTTTAACTCTTACGCACAAGAATTCAGAGTTTTGTTGTTAGGCTAGGAAATAACTCTAGACTTTAACTGTGAAGAGATGGAATTTAGAGTTGTTTTCTAAGTTGGAAAGTATCTATGAGCATAACTTTGAATCACAAGAATTCTGATTTCTTATAGGTTAGAAATGAAACTCTGAACTTCAACTCTTAAGAGGAGTTCAAAGTTGTATTCTAAGTCTAAAAAGTAACTATGGAAATAAGTCTGAACCAGAACAATTCAGAGTTATGTTGTAAGTTTGGGAAATAACCAATAACTGATGTAGTTCAGACTTTACAATTCAGACTTCATTTGACTTCCTATATTCAGACTTACAAGTCTGAAAGACACTTGAGAGTTAAATTCAAACTTACAACTCTGATTTTCCCAGACTTTTATACTTGTAAATTTTCTCATCCGAATTTGACCTAGCCATGTCCATTGCTGCGTGTTTTAATATCATTGGATCAACTATTAAGACAACTCATAAATACAAGTAATGAAGTTTAAAAAACCGATTCATTTTTAATCAGCATGCCTAATGATGCGATTAACCACTCTACTCTTACACGTGTCACTCTACAAATAAACTGTTCAGGTTCTTAATTTAAATCGAAACCCATATATACTCCATATCTGTTAATTGTTCATACTCCCGCCTTCATTTAGCTCATGCGAACTTGCCTCTTTCCAATCACATAACTCACAAAGCAAACCATCAATGGCTCGTTCACAATCCAACGTCCAAAAAACAATCCACACCACCAAAACTTGCTTCGAACCCTCCTCCTCCTCGGATTCTGACAATGAAGTCAACCAGGGTACTTCTATTTTGGTTGGAAACATTGAAATTGTGCTCCAACAACATGTCTCCCTTCCTTTAGGAAATCACTCTTCATCATTCAACTATGAATTCAATCACCCGGCTCCAATTCCAAACCCCAATGAAGAACAACAGACATAGAACCCTGAAAAAGACACCCCTGCACCTGCTGAATCCAAAGGTGAAGTAGGTGATGCCCATGGCAATCACCCAACACATATTGCTACTATGTCTGAAGCCACCAAAAAAACTGATTTAAGCAAAGCTTTTTTGCCTGAATACGAATATGACCTCATTAAGGAAAACAACAATGCATTAAACCTCAACTCTGAAAAATTCAAACCTGATCACCAGATTGTGATTGATATTCTTAAAAGACATCTACTCAAAAGGATGTTCTGCAGAAGTTATGAAGTTCTTATTCAGTATCTTCAACAATGGTGGAAAAATCTAACATACGAGGAGGAAGAAAATGAAACTGTTTCAATGGTATGAAGGTATAGTTTTTCACTATCCCTAGAACTCATAAGAAAGATGCTTTGCCTACCACACAAGGATGAAGTCTTAGGGAAATCGGACTTTGATTCCCTACCTTCTCAGGAACAGATGATTGCAGACTTCATCTTATTGGGATACAAAGATCCCTTGCCAACACTTAGTAGTTTCAGGAGGAAAGGTTTGCCACCTGTTTGGTACTGCCTCTTCTCCTGTATCAACAGGTGTTTATCACCCAATGCCTCAAGCCTAGACCAAGCATCAAGGACAACACTGAAGATCTTCCATGATATAGCCTTTAATATGCATTATGATTATGCATCGCTATTCATGGAAGAAATCAAAGCATACATTGCAAAGCCCCCCGAGTACATTCCATTTCAAAGATTCTTCCAACTCTGCGTCAAGGGAGCCATGTACTTGCAACTAAGAATTCCAGCAAGAGAAGAGGATAAGATGGCCCCAGGTTATCCACTTCTCTCTCTAATTTCAACAATCATATGCCACTCCCCTTGGAGTTGAGAGCATACATTAGGAATGACAATAAGATACTTAGAGAATATTGCGCTTCTATGGGACTGTCGGAACCGGCAGACCCTACCCAAGAAACAACCCCCCTTAGGATGAGTGGTGAGGGGTCCAAAAAAATTGAAATAGGTATTGGAAATATGTAAGAAGAGAAATTACACAAGAAAAATCTCAAAGAAATACCTGATCAGAAATGATACTCGTTTGGAATCAACTCAAAATTCAAAAACATTTTCAATATTCCCCCTCCAAAATAGATTTCATCTTCAAACAAATAAAATATTATTCTCCTTTTGAGTTAGCCTAGAGTTTGAAAACACTTCAGCTCAGAATTGAAGAACAAGTCTTGAACTGGGTGTTCAGAAGCTATATTTAGGCAAATTATACACTCCCCCTGCATCATTGTATCATATAGAAGATGTTTCTCATCAGCACAACATATGACACACCTGCAAAACAGATTAAGTAGATTTTGGTTCCCAGACAAACATGGGTCCTACTTTGTTAGTACTGTTCGAGGGATGTTATAATTGCCATACCATCTGTTCTTATCAGATAATTTCTTTTTAGTTCTTTTAACAGGTAAATCAGATATTCAATAAGAACCATACCAGTCATTATCATACCTGTTATTCTCATACCAGTTGTTCTCATAACTATTACATTCATTCCAACTGTTTTCATACCAGTTGTTTCCATACCATATGTTGATTTTCTGCTTGTTGACGAAATCATTTGTTCCACAAGTTGAGCATCAAATTCTTCTCTTGCTAAGACTGATCAACTGATTAGTAGATTTCACAATACAAGGAAGAACAGTATTAGACACAAATGATTTCTTGTTATCAACAGATTCAACTTTATTTACCCAAACTTATTTTACTTTTGAAAAGTTATTGTTTGATTCAATGACATAACCTTTGTAAAACTGATTTGAAATACGAGCCTTGTTCTTTGAAACAATTGATTTAGGACTACTTAAATAACTGTTGGATTTGACATTGGAACAGTCATAAAAGCAGGTTTTACACTTAGATTGAGAAACAGGTTGAGGTTTCAACACTTGATTCAGAAAATTCTTTTATTTTCTTAAGTAACTGATCTATCTCTTCTGTAACTAAATCATATTTCTTTTTAAGTTCAGATCTCATATTCATCTCAGTGACAAGTTCCGTCTTTAAATCAGACAATTTTTTTGAAGTTTCAGAGAACTTACCTTCCAACTCTCTTCTTAACTTCTCAAAATCTTTCCTTTCTTTCTCCACTTATGTTCTTTCTTCTTCAAAACTTCCTTTATCATTATCTGAAGCAATACCAAGCCATTTCTTTTTCTTAGTGACCTCTTTAGCAATTGTTGCATTCTTTTTCGCAGTATTCTTTTTCTCCATAGTAAAAAAATTTCTCTCCTCATTTAAAGTTTTCTGCTTTACAGCAATGCTATCAAACATTTCCAGATGTTTCTTTTGACATTCTTCCAAATATTATTTCTTCTCATTATCAAACTTGGCTCTTTCCAAGATGATAATTTGTTCAAATTCAGAGATTTGCTTTGAAAGCCTTGTAGTATTCAACTATAAATCTTTTATTTTTCTTTCAAAAGTCTTTCTTTCAGCATCAAATCTCTTTTCAACCTCTATTAGCTTATCCTTCTCCTTTTCCAGTAATTTCCTTTTAGCAGTCAATTCATTCTTAGCTTTATGAATTTTCTTTGTCAACTCACCATTCTCTTTGATCTGCTTTACATTCCTTTTCTTTTCTTCCTTTGACTCTTTTCTTTCAGATTCTAAAATTTTCTCAATTTCATAAACTCTAGATTTCAGTATGGAATTGTCCCTTAACATATCAAAGTCTGTCTTTTGTCTTGCACTGAGATAAATATCTTTACCAAGAAGTTCATCAATCTCTGCTTGTAGAAACTTCTTTTCTTCTTCAGTTTTATTCAATTCTTGTTTCATCTCATTAGCCCAAACTAAATGTGCATGATTCTCATAAAATACATTTGCATTTTCTTGTTTCTTTTTCAGACTTTTCTCCAAATCAGAAACTTTCTCTCTTAGTTCCTTATATTCTCTTTCTAGAATATATGCCATTTGAAAAATTCAGAAACAATTGATCAAACATAAAATGATCTCTGCAGTTCAAAACTTTGATTAACAACTACACGCACAAAAATTTTCAAACTAATGAAAATCAATCAAATCACAGAATATTCAACAAGTAATACCCAACAAATGAAATTTGACTCCGGACAAGGAATTTCCAAATAGAAGATCTTAGAATAATCTCCAAATCCGGACAACTAATTCAACATAAACAAATAATTATGATCGGATTCACAAACTACACAAAAAGCAACAATGACCCGATGTAGAATACGGTCAAAGTAACTTGAATAACCGGATGTTCAAACAATACGGACAGTCAAAATATGGTCAAATATGTACAACAACAATCCATCCAAACACCAATCAAATACGGATAGCTTGGATACCTTGTTACTATGAAACAACCGAATACGGTCAAATATGAAAACCTTCAACAACCAGATATGTTTTAATCATGCCAAAACACAATCAACAGCCTGATATGTTTTTTAATCATGCAAACACACAATGAACAATTGGATATGTTTTAATCAAGCAAACACACAATGAACAACAGGATATGTAAGCATGCAAAATATCAAAAGCAATCCGGACAACTTATAACTATGCAATGGCCGGATTCAAACTTAATACCAATAACCAAGTTTGACCGGATTAACAATACTGACAAAGAATACCAACCAAATTCGGACACCTTGATTATGCAATCAACCAAATACACCTTGTAACTATGCAACAGCTGAATACGGTCAAGGCAACATCATTAATATCCGGATAGGTAAGCATGCAATGGTAGAATACGGTCAAGGCAACAGTCGGATTCAATAAACATGAAAACCTTCAAGAATCGGATTAGGTAATCATGCACACATCAATCCATGCAAAGCATTCAATGAACAGTAATGGCCGGATACAAAAAGCATGCATAATATAAATGTGTAAGACTTCAATGACCGAATACGGTTAATATGCATCAACACCAATAGGCGCCGTATATGGTTGACATACAAACATTAATATCCAGACCATGCACACATCATCAAAATGCAAAACAATAATGACCGGATATAGTAAACCATGCAAATATCAAAAGCCTAATACGGACAAAATATGCACACCATCAACAACCATATATGGTGAACATGCATACATTCAACAACCGGATTCATTCTCATACACAAATTCATTGACCAGATATGAAAAACTCTTAAAAATCTTCAATTTTTTAACATTTAATCAATCGAAAATACAAATTGGTTTGAATATTATGATCCTAAACAATAATGCGCACAAGATTAACAACAATTCATGATCAAACATCAACAAATTGAAGATTTTAGATGAGAAAAAGAATAATATGCTCAAAACATCCTCAAGAACAGTCAAGAACACATGAAGATAAATCCGAAAAATTTCCAGATTTTCAGAATTTTGTGCAAGAATTCTCTTGAATTTCGTGAAGTTTCTTAACCAAAATTACTGCATTTCAGCTTTGATACCAATTGAGGATGACGATCCCAGATTGTTTAATTAATCTTCATGAACGATCAAGAACATCAAAATGGCAAAATCAAGAATATTGAAAGTAGTGAATTTAGAGAGAAAAACTCAATCTTGATTATTATCTTCAAAGTATCCTTACAAACTCATTAAGATTCTTACAATGTAACTCTAATGTCATACAAGAAATATAAAGACAAAACCTATTTATAGGACAAAATACAATACAAAATTACAAATAAGAGAAAAGATTGAATACAACACTTAAGATCAAAAACTCAAACCCAACAGTCCATCCCCCATTGAGCCAAATGCAGATCATGAAACTGCTATTCTTTCTAAGACCAGCACAAGTCTCTATGACTTACCTTCATAGGTAGTTTGTTAACCTACACTAACACCTATAGTACTTCTAGGGATGTCAAGGATTGGGTGGAAATCTTGGTGGGATGAACATCAATAAAATCCCAGTACCAAGTACATCTGTTGTACATGATGTGTTTTTCACATCATCAGGCCAACCCACACCTGTTGTGGGATTGCGAACAGGATCATTTGTTGATCCTGGTTTCCTACCAACAATTGTCACAATTACATAGTTTAACAACTTTAGTGACTTTTGTAAAAGTGAATTTGCAAAGATTGACTCTAAAATCAATGAATTAACAACCTCAAATCAAATACAAAGTTTGGAGGAAAGGATGACGTCAATGGAGGAAGGAATTGGAGAAAAAATTGAAGGTCTTGACAATTCTATATAGCTAACAAAACACCAATTGGAGGGTCTGAAAAAGATGGCGGCCACCAACCAAAAAACCCTGAATAACTTGGCATCAAACTCTATCTCCAAACAAGAGTTCCAAGTGTTCCAAAGCTGCATTCTCAAGAACTTTGAGATTATGTGTCATAAGATGATTGAGATGCAAGTTAAAACAGAAGCTACTATACCCAGCCACCTAAATACCCTCAGGCTGTCTTAAATGGATCACCCCCATACACAAGCCAAAACACATAATCCAAGCCAACCTCCAAGTGATCCATCTACTTCTCAACAAAATCCCATCCTTGCCGTTCCCAAGGCCTACATACCTAATACTAAAGATTTTGCCACATCTAATCAATTAAATGAAGTGAAAGCAGAAATGGTAGATTTAAGGTACATGATAATGTTAATAAGGAAGGATCTTCGTGAGATGGGCTGCAAGGAACAAGTTGGGACATTCAAAAGGAAGCATGATGAAGATCATGACTCTGATAAGGAAGAGAACTGCGATAATCAAAAGAGGGGTAAGAAGATAAGGCTGGAAGAGCCAACAACATTAGGAATGGCATCTAATGCAGATGCAACAGAAGAGGAAAATATTGAAGGGGAAGCTGGTAATGAAGAAAGAATTGATGTAGATAATCATGAAGCAATTAATAATGAAGCAGAAAAGATGGAAATAGAAGAAACATAGACGATTATCATTCCTAGTTCAGATGGGGAGTTTAAAAACCTAATGATGAGCTAGAAGATAAGTATGAGGATCATTTTCAAAACTCATGTCTTGCAATCATTCCTTTTACCCCTCTAGATTCATTTATTCAATTTTTAATTCCTTTAACAATTCAATCTACAGAGGAAGAAGAACCAGCGGTACAAACTTCAGATTCAGAAGTTTCTATAGAGAATGAGTTGGAAATAATGAAATCTGATGGAATGATGGTCTCGTTTGTGTATTTCAGCCACATGTACCTAACATCGAATGAGGAGAAAGTCCTGCTTGAACATCAAATTGATGGGAACTGGCCTGGAGAAGTGTAGATGATGTACTCAGAGATTATGCCTATAATTCTGGAAAAAAAAACTTCATACTTCTAAGTCTGCATAAGAAGGGACCACAGTTTATGCATGTAAGTCTTAGGAAGATTTTATGCATGTAAGTCTGGACAAAAAGGGCTTAGAGTTTATACTTATAAATCTGGAGAAAAAGGAAACCAAAGTTTGTCTTTAAGTCTGGAAAAAAGGCTCATTATTTCTAAGCATGCATAAGAAGGAACTAGAGTTTATGCATGTAAGTCTGGGCAAAAAGGGCTCAGACATCACACTACTAGTTCTGCAAAAGAAGAAAGCAGAGTTTATCTCTAAGTCTAAATAAAAGGGGTTCAGGCTTGGGAATTCTAAGTCCAGAAAAGAATGAACCAGGATTATGCCTGTAAGTCTGGAAAAAAGTGTTCATACTTCTAATTCTGGAAAAGAAGGAAGCAAAGTTTATGCCTCTAAGCCTAGAAAAAAAAGAATTTATACTTCTAAATCACCAAAAGAAGAAACCAGAATTTATGTCTAAGTCTGGACACAAAGGGTTAAGAGTTCATGCTTCTAAATCTGGAAAAGAAGATTGCATATATCATGTTCTACATGATCATTATCATAACAAATGAACAACCATAATTGACACTTATAATAAAACAAAATAACACTGAAAAATCACATTTTAGACTTTTGTTGATTTAAGTTTGTCGAAAAGTCTGTGGAGATCAGACTTCTATGTTTGGAAAAGAAGACTACATAGCTCAGGTTTCACATTGATCATTATCATAAAAAAGGAACAAACATAATTGACATTTATATAATACAACAAAAATAACTCTGGAAAAATCACATTTCAGACTTTTGCTCATTTAAGTCAGTGGAAAAAGTCTGTAGACATCAAACTTCTAAATCTGAGGAATCGAAATCCAGAATTTTGCTAATTTAAGTCTTTGAATTTTTTTTCTAGAGATTAGACTTCTATGTTTGGAAAAGAAGACTGCATAACTCAGGTTCTACATTGATCATTATCATAACAAAGGAACAACCATAATTGACACTTATAATACAACAAAATAACTCTAGAAAATCATAATTCAGACTTATGTTCATTTAAGTGTGTGGAAAAAGTCTGTAGAGATCAGACTTCTAAGAATAGAAATCCAGACTTTTGCTTATTTAAGTTTTTGAAAAAAGTCTGTAGAGATTAGACTTCTATGTTTGGAAAAGTAGACTGTATAGCCAGGTTCTACATTGATCATTATTATAACAAAGTAATAACCATAATTGACACTTATAATACAACAAAATAACTCTGGAAAATCACATTTCAGACTTTTGGTCATTTAAGTTTATGGAAAAAGTCTATAGAGATCAGTCCTCTATGTTTGGAAAAGAAGACTGCATGGCTCAGGTTTTACATTGATCATTATCATAACAAATGAACAACCATAATTGACACTTATAATACAAAAAAAGTAACTCTGGAAAATCACATTTCAGACTTTTGCTCATTAAAGTCTGTGGAAAAAGTCTGTAGAGATCACACTTCTAAGTCTGAGGAATGGGAATCTAGACTTTTGGTCATTTATGTTTGTGGAAAAGGTTTGTAGAGATCGGACTTTTATGTTTGGGAAAGAAGACTACCTAGCTCAAGCTCTACATTGATCATTATCATAACAAAGGAACAACCATACTTGACCTTTATAATACAACAAAATAAATCTAGAAAATCATATTTCTGAATTTTGCTCATTTAACTATGTGGAAAAAATCTGTAGAGATCAGACTTCGAACTCTGAGGAATGGAAATCCAGACTTTTGCTGATTTAAGTTTATGAAAAAAGTCTGTAGAGATCAGACTTCTATATTTGGAAAAGAAGACTGCATAGCTCAGGTTACACATTGATCATTATCATAACAAAGGAACAACCATACTTGACAATTATAATACAACAAAATAACCTTGAAAATCACATTTCAGACTTTTGGTCATTTAAGTCTTTGAAAAAAGTCTGCAGAGATAAGACTTCTATGTTTGGAAAAGAAGATGCATAGCTCAGGTTATACAATGATCATTATCATAACAAAAGAACAACCATAATTGATACTTATAATACAACAAAATAACCTTGGAAAATCACATTTCAGACTTTTAGTTATTTAAGTCTGTGGAAAGAGTCTGTAGAGATCAGACTTCAATGTTTGGAAAAGAAGACTGCATAGCTCAAGTTCGACATTGATCATTATCACTACAAAGGAACAACTATAATTGACACTTATAATACAACAAAATAACTGTAGAAAATCATATATCAGACTTTTGCTCATTTAAATATGTGGAAAAAGTCTGTAGAGATCAGATTTCTAAGTTTGAGGAATGGAAATCCAAACTTTTGCTTATTTATGTTTTTGAAAAAAATCTGTAGAGATCAAACTGCTATGTTTGGAAAAGAATACTGATAGCTTAGGTTTTACATTGATCATTTTCATAACAACGAAACAACCATAATTGACACTTATAATACAACAAAATAACCCTGGAGAATCACATTTAAAACTTTTGGTCAGTTAAGTTTGTGGAAAAAGTCTGAAGAGATCAGATTTCTATGTTTGGAAAAGAGGACTACATAGCACAGGTTATACATTGATCATTATCATATCAAAGGAACAACCATACTTGACACTTATAATACAACAAAATAACTCTGGAAAATCACATTCACACTTTTGCTCATTTAAGTATGTGGAAAAAGTCTGTAGAGATCACTCTTCTAAGTCTGAGGAATAAATATCCAGACTTTTGCTTATTTAAGTCTTTGAAAAAAATGTATAGAGATCAGACTTCTATGTTTGGAAAAGAAAACTGCATAACTCAGGCTTGTACATTGATCATTATCATAACAAAGGAACAATCATAATTGACCATTATAATCCAACAAAATAACCCTAGAAAATCACATTTCAGACTTTTGCTCATTTAAGTTTTTGGAAAAAGTCTGTAGAGATCAGACTTCTAAGTCTGAGAATAGAAATCCAGACTTTTACTTATTTAAGTCTTTGAAAAAAGTCTGTAGAGATCAGACTTTTATGTTTGGAAAAGAAGACTGCATAGTCCAGGTTTTACATTGATTATTATCATAACAAAGTAACAACCATAATTGACAAACTTATAATCCATCAAAATAATCCTGGAAAATCACTTTGGACTAAAGTTCAGAGTTGTATTCTATGTCTGAAAAACAACATTTCAGACTTTTGCTCATTTAAGTTTGTGGAAAAAGTCTGTAGAGATCAGATTTCTAAGTCTAAGGAATAGAAATCCATATTTTTGTTTATTTAAGTCTTTGAAAGAAGTTTGTAGAGATCAGACTTCTATGTTTGAAAAAGAAGACTTCATAGCTCAGGCATGTACATTGATCATTATCACAACAAAGGAACAACCAGAATTGACACTTATAATCCAACAAAATGACCCTGGAAAATCACATTTTAGATTTTTGCTCATTTAAGTCGATGGAAAAAGTCTGTATAGATCATACTTCTAAGTCTGAGGAATAGAATTCCAGAAATAAGACTTATATGTCTCGAAAATAAGTCTTAAAAGAAATTCATTTTCATACGGAAATCAATTATGTTGACAGAGACAGATATCAATTAAATTGGCCCATTTGAACCAGTAATATAAATTGTGTCTACATACATATTTAGGCGAGAAATCTATATAATCGTCGCCTATAAGACAACATGTGGCAGTCAAGTTACTAATTAAATGAGAACTGTTTTGCTTGTAGTGAGATCCAATCTCAACCACAAATTAATGGCTAAGTTAGGAAATTAAGAATTTTGGTAAATTTTACTTAATATTAATGAATGGCATTTTAGGGATTTTATAAATATCCTCTTTTATCTCTCCTCTTTCCTCTCTCTGGTGAATCTTATTCGACGAACCTTATTCCGATGAACCTTATGTGAACATAGAATACACACTGTGATACCTACAAACGAACATTCACTGTGATACCCAAATGCACAATGTGATACCTTTTGTAAAACAATGAAAATAACAAAAATGCACACTATGATACATTTCATAAAACAAAGAAAATAAATCGTGATACACGTGAAATGTTGTGAACGTTATCACTATGACACACTTTGATTCACAAACTTCTTTAAAATATGATGTATATTAGGTAATTGATATACTTGGTAATTAATTTAAAAAAAAATATTTTCTTCTAAAAAAATTAATTAAATATTTTCATTAGTTATCAAAGTAGAATTACTACATTACCTTTTTAGTTTATTTAAGAAATATCCTTAAATATCGTTAACGAGTGGTTCATATTGGATTTCACGGTTACCTCCCGCTAATCGCTTCTCCTTTAAATGGACCCCTATATATATATATATATATATGTTACATGTATTTAGTGCCAAGTAAATTACGAGTAAAAGTTGTATTTTAAAAAAAATTGGGATCCTGGAGATTCGTTAATAATGGCGTCTACTGTGACCCGCCCTCGAAAATGCGTCAGTAAATCCAGCCCTTGGAAATCTACCAGTAAAATGGACTCTTGAAAATCCATTGGTAAAAAGTGGTCTTTCGAAAATCAATCGGTGAAATGAGGTTGTTAGAAATCTGTCGGTAAAGCGGCCCATCGAAAATCCGTAGCTAATTGTCATTTTTGGCCAAGCTTTGGCCAACATACCTTTACCGATGGATCTCTATTGATTTTTCATCAGTAAAAGACTTTGTTTTCGTATGTACTTGTCTCATCTACGGCCATCCACCGAAGTTCTACTTATTTACAAAATTGCCACGACATAAAGTACCACTATCATATAATAGAAAAGTCATCCAAAAAACTCAAAATGCTCCTCAAGTTAAAAAAAAAAACACCCATTATTTCATTTCATAAAAATAATTTGAAGCATATTATTAATTCTTGTAATTGTAAAGTAGAATATGAATTGAAGGCTACCACAAATCATGAAATTTCTTGGTAGTTAGTGCCATCTATCTAGATTTGATTTGTCTATTGAACTACTTTTCCTCTAAAACAAAGTTGGTCTACCTCCTCTTTATCCTTTGCGTGTATCATATGGCCGACTTTTTATTCCAAGATGCATCTTTTCCCAGCTTTAACTTTTGATTCTCCCCTTCCGATTCCACCTCTAAGATAAACCCTAAATTTCAAAAGATAAAGATACCAAAAACCTTGTCCTTTCCATCTCATCTTTATATATATGTCCTTCTCAACACAAGTAAATATTGAAGAATAGTGGTTGTATAGTAAACCCATTTTATTCAATAATCATCCATCTCCATCGTCCAAAACTAGACTTAAGAGAGTAGCTAGCTAGTATCAATATGGCCATTGTTGAACTCACTATAATGTGATTGGTTTATTGTCCAAAAAACAAGAAGATAAGCATGGGTCAAAAGCGCATACCGAATCATCTTTATCCGTCATTACATGTGGCTTCTCTGATCCATGCACGGCCATTTTTCTTCTTTTTCATCAATCTATGAAAAAAGGGGTGAAAAGGGATATTCTCTATCATTCCATGCAAAGAAATGGTGTGATGTGCACATTCATAATCTAGTCATGAAAGCAATAAGCACCCGTATGGTGGGGTCTGAGGAGCTAGCTAATGTGCAGGAAAGAAAAGTGGGGAAGAATCTCTTTGTAGTTTCCCATCACAAACTCTCACTTTGGTCATCTTGTCTTCACACCAATGCATCTGTTCTTCACTTAGATCCGTAGTTCTCAGAACTCTTGACACCACTTTTAAGTCTATTTGTGCCATCAACACCTCCATTTCGTTCTCTTGCTTTGATCTCCTTTTGCGTAAGCACTTACGAGATCGCTGTAGATCTCTTAGCTTCAACTTTTTCTGCATATTTAAACAACATTTAAATTAATTCATACCAACAGGTCCCACAAGATTAACATAAAGGTGTTTAATTTCTTTTGTAATTATGGTATATCTGGTATCTTTGATTCAACGACTTTAATTAACATACTCTTCTTGCAGAAATATATAATAAACAATAAAGATGAACGTTAACAAATTCCACTTTCTGATGGAGTGCAGGAAGCAGTGCCGGAATCGGAAAAATCAACTGGGGTGATCTTTAATTTAACAAAAAATTAAATATCTCAAAAATATTATATTGGTAGCAAGCGTTCAATCCAAAAGTACACATGCCCTCAATGATTTTTCGTTTTCCTAAACATGTCGATAACAATTTACCTATCAACGTCGGTAATCGTTTTCATACAGGCAACCAAGTTATCGTTCATCCATTGATCTCCCATTTATTATATTCATGGTTAAAATGCGCTCTCAAATGAATCTAAGGCATGAGGTCTTAAGGAAATGGGCCAGCCATGAATAAGTTTTATTATTAAAGTGGGACTCTAATATATAGTTAGTGGACTTGGTATCTTTAGCCTATATAAAATTGTTTTTTAGAATCTCAGCGTTAGCTCAGGCTAAGCATGGACAGTAGCCGATGCAAGTGGCACACTAAGATGATAGAAAACTAATTGTGGAGGACAAGCCAGTGATGCATACAGAGGGTATCATTCTTTCTCTCATTAGACTCTGTGATTCTTGTTTTCTGTATATCCCTGAAACCCAACTTGTAGACTTCCTCTTGGGATATTCTACAACAAAAGAAGTATAACCAAGTAATGCATATTAGGGTTTTGTGAAAGAGGGGGGGTTCAAACCTTATGGTTTACTTTCTTGAGCAACTGTAGAAGAGTTGGATCGACTGAAGTTCTTGGGTTTTTGATGCGAAAAAGATCTGTAAATATGTGGAAGTGATTCTCCTTATCAACCCTAAGAAAATTCATGAATGTTTTGATTGCTTCTTCCATGATCACAAGAAATGAATCTGACGAAATTCTTGACCCCAAATATTCGTCTTTCTTCTCATCATCAGAATCTACAAAAAAAAATCATGAGTTCTACAATATTCAGTTTTCATTGGGTGGGGTTTCAATAAGAACAATCTATTTTTGTCAAAATGGAAGAACAAGTGAAGTTATCAAATGACTGACTCTAATTTCAAATACAACTGATGATAATAAAAGGGTACATAAAGCACAAGGTGGCATCTAATTGGTTTGATCAGTTTGGGTTTCAAATATCAAAAGTGTCCGGAGGTCCTTTGTTCAAATACAAGAAGAAACAAAAATCTCATTGTGGCCACGGAGGTTCACATACGGTGACTCTGGGCTACCACAAAACAAAACAGGTGGTCATCATAAAATTAGTCGGCTCACATAGCAAGTTGGATATCCAGGTTAATAAAAAAAATTATATATAACCTTCTTTTTAGAGGGTATATAACTATTTGTTGCAATGATTGTATTTCATTTTATTGTTAATTTGAAAATTCCAACTTCCAAAGATTATTATAGAATTCATTTAATTTTCGAAAATTATTAAGCAAACCATGAAACATTTAAATTCTGTTACAAGTTAAACACAATTCGAATTCGTCACGATTTTACAAGTGTTATCGTTGCAATTATAAAAGTTAATCAATCTTAAAAATCCTAATAATTTTAATAAATATATTTAATAAGTGAAAGTGTATGTTGATATTTAATAGAAGTTATCTGAAAATTTTAAAGATAATATTTTGATAACAAAAATTAAAGATTCGTCTTGGTAACAAGTTTTATTTTTGTTAAATAATCATTAAAAAGCTAAAGCAAGCTTCAGAGTATATTCCCCTTGTTTATATATATATATATATATATATATATATATATATATATATATATATACACACTAATGAGAATTACAAAAGTGTATAATTAGTGGTGTTTTGATTGGCTTTTGAAATAAACTCAAAAAAATAAGTTGGTTTAACTTTGCCAAATATTGTAAAAGTTATTGATTAACATGTATTTTTGTACAAAATGTTTGTTCCAAATATGGAACTCTTTTTCGTGCTTGTTAAATAAAAATACACATAAAAAGTTATGTAGTGTTAATCAAATGCATGCATACATATATATATATGTATATGTATATGTATAATATATGAGAGAGAGATGCGAATGGCAATTATAAATATTTTCCGAACTATAAGATGTAGTACATACATTGATGGATATTTTACTATAACAAAATTGTGTTTTAGGACGCCCCAAATTTATAAACGCCTCAATAGACCGCTTTATAGTACTTAATATATATGATCAAAATTTAAAGTGTTATATCTAAATGTGTTGTAATAAGTTTATATGACGTTTTTGAACGACTTAACAAATTTTTTAGGATATTTTTAATACAAATGGTCGTATTAGCAACTTTATAGGACATTTTTCAGAAAGTGTCCTATAAACTGAATTTTTTTTATAGTTAACTTGTTTTTATAGAACAATTTTTCAAATAATGTCCTATAAAGTTGATAATTTGACACTTTATATTAAAAGTGTACTAAAAAACTTATTACGACGTCAAAAAACGTCATATAAACTTATTACAACACCTTTAGATATGACACTTTATTTTTTTGGTCCTATAAACTAGTTCCTATAAAGAGGTCTATTAGGACACTTATAATTTAGAGCGTCCTATAAACCCGATTTTATTGTAGTGTAATTTACTATCAAAATATATTTTTTGTCAATAAATATATTTATCAATGTATATCTACTATGTATGCACACTGAAATTCATATAGTATATATGCATCAATGCATATAATAATTCTTACAGTTCTCAAAATATCTATAGTTTTTATTTGATTTCAGTCATATATATATATATATATAGGGTTGGGTTCACGTGAGACCAAGGGTTTTTCGTGAGACCCGTAAGACCAATTTATGTTCATTGATTAAATTTATGAATTAATGATCTAATGGTTGCAAAGTTGCAAGGTGGCAATTTCGTAATTAGTGAGAAGTCTCGTAGCGTTTATAAATATTCAGATCTGACGATTGTAAATCTAATCCAAGGGTTGAGAATTGGTTTAACGGGTCTCACGAAAAACCATTGGTCTCACGTGAACCTAACCCTATATATATATATATATATATATACTCTTAAGCAAATTAGTTTAAGAAAACTTATGATCTTTTAAATAGTTATGTATTAATCGGGCAATTCAAGCTTAAAAAAAGATAAATAAATCTAAACGTTACCTCGGTATTCTGGGACTTGAAGCAACTTCGGAGCCAGACTTCTCATTCTCGCATAAACTACAGGTCTCCTACCGTTTTCATAAGGCTCGTTCTCGATGTACCGTTGTAAAAGCACTTGAAATTGTTGAAATTGTTGTGCGACATATGCAGGGCATCCAAGGTCTGAGTCACGACGCGAAACTCTTAATTGGTGGAAGTACTTGTAGTTCCAATTAAGAGCTTCCCAAGTCAAACAAATTTGTGCTACGTAGGCCGCTTCCAGTTCGTGATACGAATTCTGGTAAATATACGATGTTTTTCTGTTTCTTGATGCTAATTTGTGGATGATCTTTTCTGATATTGATGAATGGCACGTCATTGACGACCTAAACGACTCTGTAATAGACCAAAACTTTGTTATATGGTGAAAGTGCATATATACCTTTCTTTTTAAATAAAAAAAGAAATAGACAAATAATTGTTATTACGGTGGACAAAGAAGGATACTTTTAAATGAAAAAAGTATTACTTTGGGAGCATTAATTAAAATATAAAATCATTTTGATCATTTTATTTACGGTTCGTGTGTAGTATGATAATATATGTATGTATATGGAGGGTTAAAACGAGAATACATTTATTTTACGAGAATGCAAGAACACCGGTTTAATATATTAATCATGCGTGATACTATATTCAATCGCATATGATATAGTGCATTTGATACTAAATCAGAGATGTGGACAACCTTTGGCGGGACCTGGGTTGTATATCAAGTTCTCCATACACTACTAGGCCCCTCAAGTGTAGTATCATATGTAATAAGAGTGTTCTTAATGTCATACTATAATCTATCATATGTGATACTAAATTAGAGACGCATACGATATTTGACATGACCTAAGTTGAAGGACATGTCCGCACACCACCAGATCCCCTCACGAGCATTATCACATGTGATCAGGATGTTTTTGTGTTTTCGTGAAATAAATGTGTTCTCGTTTGAACCTTCATACATTTATATATATATATATATATATAGAGAGAGAGAGAGAGAGAGAGAGAACAAATAAAAGCCGATTTTTGATTGTGAACCGGGGGAGAAATAAGAGCATGACAAGGAAACATTCTCTTTCAGTACGAGTAATGAATGAAACTCAGTATCAATAACGAATGTGAAGTTCATTAACTATTAATGATGAATGATATTGCATTTTTCATCATGAATAATACATTTTTCATCATGAATAATCTGTGAAGATGTCGTGCACTACTTTATCCCTCAATTCACAACTGAAAATCGATTTTCATTTGAACCCTCCTTTAATATGCGGCCATAATTTTTGTTTATTTAACAAGTGAACACTTAGGCTGCGTTTGGTAGATGGGAGGGGACAGAATAGGACGGGACAAAACTTACTGTCCCATGTTTGGCGCAGCATGGGACAGAACAAGAACTCATTGTCCCACGTTTGGCGAGACATGGGATAAGGATAAAAACTGAGACAAGGTGGGACAGCATGGGACAAAATAAGTTTTTTCTTGTTCCACCAAAATAGGTGGAACAAGATGGGACAAGAATGAAACAGAAACTAAAATATTACTAATCTACCCTAGTTTGAGATAACCTTAATATGATATTTGTTTTAATGGTCATCATCGCTAGTTTCGGCCGCCGCCACCACTACCGGCAGTCATGGTGGCCACCTCCACCTCCACCTCCTCTTCCACTACAACAACATCCTCCACCGCGTCCACAACCACCGTCCACCAAGTCCATTGCCACCTCTACCATAGTCGACCACCGACCACCACCGACCATTGCCACCAACACTACCGCCATTCGCCACCATCAACTCATCCTTTACTGCAAACAACCTCCTCCACGACCTCCACCGGCCACCACCATTCATTGCCACCTCACCTCCACCATAACCACTACCACCACTATCTTCACTACATCAACCACAACTACCTCCTCCACCGTTGTCAACCATCACCACCAAAATCTGCCATCTTCATGTCCTCTATAAACCACCGTCGTCCACCAATCACCACTGCCTCTACCTCCATAACCACTGTTGGCCACCGACCACCACCGCCCGTTGCCACTAATACCGTTAGCCACTAATACCGTTAGCCACCACCACCTCCACCATAACTAAAACCACCTCCACCAACACACTACTACCATCAATTGTATCAAATTTTTCATTCAAATTTGGTACAAATATGAAAATTATGTACAAATATTTATAAATTAAAATTTTTAATTATTTACTTTATTTGTGTTAATTATAACTATTATATAATATTTAAAATCATTAAATAACTTTTGGGGGTAGCTTCTCTAATTCTGTCATGTCCAGTCCTAGTCGTACCAAACACTAGACATACTCCTGTTATGCGTACCAAACTCTACTTTGAAGCCGAAAAGGTAGTCCAAACATGATAGAATGGCAAAAAAATTAGGCGACAATAAAAAGTTAAACAAATATTTTTATTAAATATTATAATATCTGGAAAAAGATTAAATATTTGATTTGACTTGTAATTTGTTAAAAGAATTTAACAGGTTTAATATAAACTTACGTGTTCATCAAAATCAACCTCAATAATGGTTAATTAAAAACTATATGTTGAAAAAATAACACCGCATTTTTCTATAACAACCTAATGGGGTATATGTAATAATTATTACAATAAAATCGGGTTTATAGGATACTCTTAATTTTTTAAACGTCCTAATAGACATTTTTATAGGACCAAAAAAATAAAGCGCATCATCTAAAAGTGTTGTAATAAATTTATATGACGTTTTTTGATGTCGTAATAAGTTTTTTAAGATACTTTTAATATAAAGCGTCCATTAGCAACTTTATAGAACACTATTTGAAAAATCGTCCTATAAAAACAAATGTCTTATAAAAAAATGAGTTTATAGGACAGTTTCTTAAAAGTATCATATAAAGTTGCTAATACGACACTTTGTATTAAAAATATCATAAAAAACTTGTTAAAACGTCTAAAAGCGTCAAATAAACTCATTACAACACATTTAAATAGAACCTTTTGTATTTTGGCTCTATAAAGCGGTCTATTGGAACGTTTAGAGATTGAAGGCGTCCTATAAACCCAATTTTGTTGTAGTGTATTCACATATTTTTGCTTTTAATGCAAATAAAAATTAATGTTTAACTATGATGATGATATGCCAATTTTCTAGTTTACATTAATTAAACAAATTTTCAAGTTTCAAGAGACAAACATGTCCCATCTTTCGGAATTGCTCTTCCGTAAAGACATTGATGATCTCGGAGAGTATAAGGTGTCAAGATCAAGAAAGGAAACAGATAGAGCGTACCTGTTTCTTGAAGCTTTTGTGCACTAATTCTATCTAAAAACAACATTTCTTCATCGTATTTCTGAAAAACGGTGTAAGACTCCCATTTGGGGCAACTTCTTCTTGATGAAGACGAAAATGGATCGTAACTCGGATCTCTGCAATTAATGGAGCTTCGCCATTCAGATGAACTTTTAGATGTTGATCCGACAGTATTCGTATCACCAAAGATCTCTTCTTTATCCTTTTCCTCTAGTTCAAATCTTTTTGTCACCGGATTCAATGATGCGAGGTTCAAGAACTTGTCGACTTGCGTTAAGTTTGATTCCAACTTCTTTCCGGTTTCACGGTACTTCTCTATAAAATAAAAAGCAAAAAACATGCACATTACACATCTAAAATGCTACAATCAAAACTAAATAATCAGTGATAAGCATGTTATAGAATTGGTGTTTAAAAACTAAACCTTACAAATATTGTTTGTTCAAGTATTAAGTACTGATGTTGGAGTTACCGTCTTGACATAAAAAAAATTAAGGGTTCTAAAGGTCCCGTTTTAAATTAATGTATAGTTCCTTAAGTTAATAAAAAGTATCTATAACTTAGGGGTCGTTTATAATTAAACGCTTACTTTGTAAGTGTTTACCGAATAAAATTTCTTATCGGATAAACATGACAAGGGACAAGAATCTTACCGAGTAAAAGCAATGAGAAGGATGGAGAGTTTTACCCGGTAAGTGAAGATTACGACTCTTAATTATTGTATTCAATACGTTTTGATGTACTAAAATCTTACTCATCAAAATAAATTATAGTGTTGATTCCTATAAGTAAGCATCTATAGGTAACGATTTGGATAAATAGGCATTAGTGACAGTGTTGATACATATATGTTGCAAGTGTAAATCCCTTTATTTTTTTATTTTTTTTTAATTTCTTTGGTAATAACAACATAAAAGGTGGAAAAGTCTAGTCAGATATTAAAAAAGGAAAACCGTTGTTTATCATTTTTAATGAAACCTGATTTTTATTCTATATTAAAATAATTATTTTGTGTTCTTAATTAAATCATGTATGTGGAATCAACAAAGATGCATATTCCTTGGCCAAAATCTACACGATACCTTCAATTTTGTCATCATCAAGTACAAAAGCGATCTTCTTGGTGACACGCAAAGATGGTTCGTCTCCAACGTATCTGAAAGAAGTACAAGCAGACTTTGCACGAGTGGTTATGGCGGGTGTATTCATATCATATCTAAAAGAAGTAGATGCAGATTTAGAACCAGCGGTCAATGATATGGTGTCCCTATCTTCATCGTCATCTTCGTCGTCCTCTTCCTCAGGGCGATCTTCTTGATTATTGTGTTCTTCGGAGTCGGACTCTGGTGCGCTATAGAATGGCGAATCATCACTAACAGCTGCTCTCTCTAGAGGGTCATTCACGATCTCCTCGTCAAAAATTACACTGTTTTGACATGAACTTGTTGCACTAGTCTGCAAAAAGAGGAGGTTTTCACCATCTTCGATGATATCAGCGACCAGATGATCTTTCTCTGGACCCTCATCGTAATAAAACCCTTCATCGTCATCTTCCACTTCCACTTCCACTTCCTCCTCCTCCTCCTCTTCTTCGTCCGTAACTGTAGAATATTCATATTCTTCATCATTTCTGTTTAAAAATAACCCAAAAAAATTAGTAATATGTATTTGAAAAACGAAAAAGACACATCTAAAGGTGAGTTGAAGAAGGATCATTGGGTCATTACGAAGCCAATTGTAACAATTTTGCAAAATCTAAGTGGGGTCTGGGGTAAAACGAAAGAGTCCTGGTTAGAATCTGAGTAAATCCAAAGGGGTTTGCATTCAATTGAAGAGATGAATTATGTACCTTGGGAGGAATGGGATGGCAGAAATGAAGAACAAGAATTTGGAAAGAAAAATGGATGTGAGGTAGAAGAAGAGGAAGAGAAGCTGGAAAGAACTGGAGGCATTGTAGAACAAACGAACAATGGTTTCTTTTGAACATTGCATTTTTGTTGCAAGAAAGAAAGAGTCTTTGTTCTGCAAGGATCGCCACTCTAATAAAGAGACTCTCTCTCTCTCTCTCTCTCTCTCTTTCTGTCTCAATCTCTATCTCTAAAATACATATAAAAGCAAAATCATTAAGACAAACAAATAAGTGGGTTTTCTTTATCTTTTCTGTAACCTTGCTTTTTCTTTCCTTCTTTTATCAATGTTTTTGGTGTGCTCAGTGTTATACTATCTTAAACCATTATAAAATCAGATGTATATAATTTACTCTGAGGGTAATGGTGCTGTGATCTGCAACCAAGCAAGGAAATATATGCAACCATTAACCTTTGGTGTATGCTCAAAAACAAGTAAATGATGGTTGTAGATTTTTACAGAAATATACTAATAGAGGCATTACCCACTTCATTGGTGCATGTTTATATTATATGTAATCATAATGTTGATCCTAGAATATTGTATTCTTAAAACATCTCTAGTTTGTCTTTGAGTTTATAGTAGGTTTAAAATGTTTTAGCATTTTAATAAAACATTTCATAAGAATTAAGTTTATAGGATCAAACTACAAAATGTTTTATCTAAAAGTGTTGATTACAATAGGTTTGTACGATGTTATTAAACGTTTTAACAAATTCTATAAGACGCATTTAAAATAAATTGACATATTAACTATATGAAAAAGTGTCCTACAAGAACAACTGTCTTATAAAAAGATAGGCTTATAGGACATTTCTCAAAAGTGTCATGTATTATACGACATTTTATTTTAAAACCATTCTAAAAATTTGTTAAAACTCCTAAAAGTGTTGATAAAATCTATTGCAACACTTTTAGATAGAAAATTTTATAATTTGATCATATAAACATAAGTCTTATTAAAAATGTTATGAAGACACTTAAATGTTTTATGTGTCCTATATATAAACCCAATCTTGTTGTAGTATAGTTCGAAAGTGTCAGATGTATGAACTCATATGTTTGATATATGAAATTTACATATATACATGAGTACAAGTTGTTGAACTTGTGTATTGAACCGCGGCATTACAACAATATCACATATGATGTCCTATGAGTATCACAAGTGTTTTAATTGTGCTCATAATATAAGAGTTGCAAGGGGATGAAATTAGCAAGGTAGTTCCCTATCTAAAAATTATTCATTATTTTGGTAGTTCGTTCTATCTAACTTGAAAGTGAGAACCATTTGGATGAAAATTAGTTAGACACTGACATGGTGTATTCAGGGATCCTATCTTTTCTGACAACACACGTCTCATTGCATTGCCGCAAATCATTTGCTTCATTTTAGGAATGAAATACATCGAGATGTGCCATCATTTTATGTCATCATGTAATTGGAAGGTCATACTGAACTACACTTCGTTCCAAATGACTATCAATTAGCTTATAATCTTTTTACCAAAAATGTTGAGGGATTAAGATTTATTTGTTCATAAGCGAACTGAGGATGTTAAACCTAACAATTTATGATATTTTATTTGATGAGATTGATCAACAGGTGTGCATACTAAGGCTTATGCATCGATATCTCACACTCCCTTATCGTAACTCTTAGTGAATGACATTCAGTTAGTCATGTATGAATAGTGTCTTTCCATCGTCATCGAAGGTATCACATTTTAACTCTCTCTTTCTCTTTCTCTTTCTCCTATATATATATATATATATATATATATATGTATATAAGGGGCATGAAAAATTGCAATCCTAAGTTTCGTAATTAACCACGGGACAAAAGGGAGCGCCATATATCGTAGACATTCACGAATATTCATCATGACTCATGTCTCATTCATCTTGAATAGTGTAAAAAATTTCATGTTCATTATTTATGTGGAATGGGCTTATTATTCATGATGAATGGGAATAAATGGGGACACGTGTCGCCTCTCATATGTCTCTCAGTTCACAATGTAAAACAAGTTTGCAATTGAACTTTTCGTTCTCTCTCTCTATGAATGGGAATAAATATGAATAAACCAAGATTTTTGTGTTAACTTTGTTAACTAATCTTGGCCATTGATTCTTACGATGAATGGTTGTGATTAATCATGATAAAAAATTAAAATTTTAAATTTATAATTTCAAAGAACATACGTGAACAAAGGGGAAAAGAGTATTTAGGTAATTTTCTTTTTTATGTAACTCCTATATTATTAATTGGAAGTTACAAAATAAAAAAATTTCATTATTTTTATTAATTTATTTTTGTTAATGTAAAAACCATATGAACACACACACACACACATATATATATGAACCATTGTGTCAAATACGAACACAAATTGACATATATATGAACTTGGACTGTATAGCATTTATTAACACAATATCAATATAATAAGAATAGTTGTTACACGAAAGTAAATAAATAAAAAAACAGGTATGAACAYAATATGAACAGTTTGTGAACAATAGTTCCTTCATTATGAAYACATTCAGRAGCAAGACAATGTTGAGATATGCAGCTAGTGTACATATGAACACAATATGAACAGTTTGTGAACAATAGTTCCTTCATTATGAATACATTCAGAAGCAAGCCAATGTTGAGATATGCAGCTAGTGTACATATGAACACTTGTGAACAATTCTTTAACAATTACATATGAATTCAAATTCCGATTGTAGTCGTAGGCGATTTTAACCTTTTCATTTTCATTGTTGTCGATTTGTTTTCCAATAGGTTTATCCATATTACTCGGACGATATCGAAATCTTTACAATCGGAAATTCTTTAACAATTACAAAATCAATATCATTATGGATAGAATAAATCGAAATTACAAAACATGAACACGTATAAAAAAACATCAATATTACATAATCATCAATTATTGAGATTTTTAGATTTGTAACTCCCAATTAATGATTTGGGAGTTATATAAATGACAAATTACTTAATTATCTTTGTCATTAATATATGAGTTATATGTGAACCTAAAGAAAAGATGAAATACGATTGGTTGAGTTTGGTTAACAAAGTTAACACAAAAATCTTGGTTAGTATTTGAACCAACCCCTATATATATATATATATATATATATATATATATCTTCTATAAATAAGGAAACCACAAAAAATGGGAGTTATTGGAAGAAGTTAACAAGACGGGTAAAGTTATACTTTTTCAGCCCAATGCGAACATTAAAGAATGTGGTGACCAGAAAGATCAATTTCTCATTAGGGTTGAATCGGTTTAAATACGACAACATATACAAGGAAATACAAGATAATTACGTAGTAGATAGCTACAATTAAGGATATACACAAATATGGTAAATATCCTTCACTCCCCCTCAAGTTTGAGCATGTAAGTCTCGAATGCCCAACTTGTCAAGTACCCTAAAGCTTTGGTAAAAACATCTGCTATCTGGACTTTTATGTTCATGCATATTGGTTGTATTTATCGTGATTCCACCCTCTCTCTAACAAAGTAGCAGTCCATTTCCACATGTTTGTTCGGTTTATGAAAAATTGGTTGTTGGCAATGTGTCTTGGTGCTTGATTGTCATAAAAGAGTGTCGTCGCTTATGTAGGTGCCACTTTCAAGATCTTTAGAAGCCATCATAGCCATAAAACCTCACTCACCGCATGTGCCATGGCGCTATACTCCACCTCTCCCGACAAACGTGACACCACTGTCTGTTTCTTCGTTTTCCATGAAATCGGGGCTCCTCTTAAGAGTAAGAGATATCCGGTTTGTGACCTCCTTGTGAAGGCGCATCCAAGCTAGTCAGAGTCATAGTAGGCAACGAGCTCGGTACCACTATCTTTTGGTATTAAAATACCTTGGCCTGGACTGGCTTTGAGATAGCACATAACTCGAGTAGCAACCTCCATATGCCTTTGTCAAGGATCAGAAATGAACTGACTTAACATATTGACTGCATATGTGATGTCGAGTCTTGTTGCTTGCAGGTACAACAATCGTCCAACAAGTCTTTCGTATTGGCTTGCTTTAATTCATGGACTTTCATCAATTGTAAATTCTTTGTTTATTGGAAAAGAACTCAGTTTACATCCCATCATTCCACAGTCTTTCAATATGGCGAGTGTGTACTTATGTTGACTCAGACCGTTCCATTAGGTGTTCTAGCCACTTCAATACAACGATCCAAAGTCTTTGATGCTAAATTTTTCATCGAAGTAGGCTTTTGTTTCTTGTATTTTTCCCGTGTCGTTTTCCGTGATGATCACGTCATCCACGTATATTAGGGCCACAACATAGCTCTCACCCTTTTCGTATATGAACAACAAAGCGCCTGCATGTGTTTGATTAAAGCCCAAACTTGACAGGGCCATGGGGAATTGTTTGTACCTGTTGCACGAAGCCTGTTGCAAACCATAGAGGGACTTTCTTAACCTGTAAACCCGAGTTTCTCATTCTCTTACGAAGCCTTCCAGAATTTTCATGGACACTTCCTCATCAAGATCCCCATGTAAGAACACGTTGTTGACATCAAGTTGGTGAATAAACCAATTTATTTTCATGGCTACAGTGAGTAGGTTTTGTACCATGACTAGCTTAGCCACCGGTGCAAACATGTCATGGAAGTCAACCCCTTCCTGCTGCGTGAATCCCTTTGCCACTAATCGTGCTTCATACCTCTCCACTTCACCATCGGGTTTGTACTTTATCTTGTACACCCACCTCGAGTCACTATCACATTTCCCGTTAAACAATTCTTCAAAGGTCCATGTTCCATTTTCTTTTAGGGCTCTTATCTCTTTTTGCATGGCTTCTTTTCATCTTTCGCTTAGTACGACCTGTCTAAAGTCCTTTGCTCTTCATTCAAGTTGATGGCCGCCAAAAAGGCCTTGTGTTTGTCAGAAAAGTTTTTATAAGAGATATGATTGGCAATATGGTATAGCGTCGAGGAATCTTGATCGTGCAAGGAGTGTGTGGGGTCTTCAAAGGTGGTAGATTCACAACGAAGTCTTCAAACCGTTTCGGTTATGCTCTCGTCCTTTTCTCTCTTTGACCATTCCCTTGTTGTACTATAGGTTGGCTTTCTAGATCGGTTTCGTTCACAATTATCGG